CCCAGGCGGAGAACGGGCGGAACATCTCCGCCTCTTCCGTCAACCGCACGCACGCGATGTCTGAGAGCTCATTTTAGGAAGGTTTTTTAATGGATTCTAGGAGGGAAATTGAATGTAGGGATTGTTTAGGGATTTATTTTTGATTTGTATGCATTAAATACTTTGTTTTCCTAGGGTTTGGGTATCTTGAATTTGGCTGAAATTTGAGATCTCTTAGATTTAGGTTTTCTTTGGGCTCTAGCGGCTTCTAGAGATTTGGGAGAGATCGATCCTCCTCTCGAATTGAGGATCAATTGTATCTTGCTATTTTATTCATTGTCTAGTGGAATACAAGCTTTCCTTTGAGTTTTCTCTCAGAATTTTCCTGGATTGGTGCTTTCTGCTGTTTTTTGTTCTGGACAGCAATATCTTCGCTGTTTGATCTCCGATTTGGGTTAGGGTTGCTTGCGAACTCAAGCATTACTTTAGGGTTACTTGCGAACTCAAGTAATCAATTGTATCTTGCTATTTTATTCATTGTCTAGTGGAATACAAGCTTTCCTTTGAGTTTTCTCTCAGAATTTTCCTGGATTGGTGCTTTCTGCTGTTTTTTGTTCTGGACAGCAATATCTTCGCTGTTTGATCTCCGATTTGGGTTAGGGTTGCTTGCGAACTCAAGCATTACTTTAGGGTTACTTGCGAACTCAAGTATTTCCTATCACAATTGTTTTAATGTAGTGTAGAATTATAATGGTGATGTGTTTTCTTGTCAAGTGTATGTGCACATTGTATGTTGTTTTCTGTTCATTAAACTCAATGTTACGAATGATTATCCATTTTCTAAGACCTTGCATACCAAAAAATAAGTGTTATTTAAGGACAATTAGTCTATTCTGAACAGTCAATAGGTTAAGTTTGTAGAAGACTTGGTGTTAGAAAACTTGATAGTTGTATCAGCATTTGGCCAACTATGTCATTTTATGATGCTTGCAATACAAAGGTTTTTTCCAATGGAGATACTTCAACTTCCCTATCTGTCAAAGCACTTGTTATTATTAATATTTAGAACCATAGTGCATTTGTGGAAAGTTTGATCATGTGAACTTCACATACATTCACTTCCAGTGGTTATTGAGAAATTTTAATTTTTTCATTGGTTGAACAATTTCTTATGCTGTAGCAGATTACTGCCTCCAAGTGATTACAAAATGTGGTTTTGTTGAACCTACACCTATTCAGTCTCAAGGTTGGCCCATGGCTTTGAAGGGGAGAGACTTAATTGGTATTGCAGAGACTGGTTCAGGGAAAACCCTGGCTTATCTTCTTCCAGCAATAGTTCATGTTAATGCTCAACCACGATTGGGTTAGTTTGTCATGCTTAAATTACACATTTTCATGTTGTATTCAAGGCGGATATGCTAAAATGTGTGAAATCCATGTTTGGTTTTAGATGAAAAATTATGATAAAGTTTCTTGCATTCACAGCCAACGGTGACGGTCCTATTGTTTTGATTCTTGCCCCGACAAGAGAACTAGCGGTTCAGATACAAGAAGAAGCTGCAAAGTTTGGTTCGCATTCAAATGTTAGAAGCACATGTATCTATGGAGGAGCACCAAAAGGACCACAAATTCGTGATTTGAAAAGAGGTTTTTGTTTGGTTTTTTATTTCATTTCTTCTTAAATATCATGCACCTCAGTTAGAACCTTTTGACATGGTTATTTACTTTCTTGTAGGAGTTGAGATTGTAATTGCAACACCTGGTAGATTGATTGATATGCTGGAAGCTTGTCATACAAATTTGCGTAGAGTAACTTACCTTGTACTGGATGAGGCAGACCGCATGTTGGACATGGGATTTGAACCGCAGATAAAAAAGATTATCTCACAGGTATAATTGGCTTGCATTTTCAGTTTTGCTTGGCGCAGACTTTGTTTATTTCTGATTGAATGCTATTTGTTAACAATGTTTTTTCTCTGATATGTAATCATCACAAGCAGAGCTATACTCTCGGTACATCCACTGTTTTGTGCTGGGTTACACCATGTGTTCTGCTGCATGAAAGTTTTATCTTAGATGAAAATTTTAGGCTTCGTTTGGGACAACTTTTGTACTGCTTTCTAAAATGGATTTCTAGTACAAAAAATTCAAATTCAAAATTTTTTTGTACTAAAAAGCTGTTTTTGAAAGCAAGAGGAAATCCGTCCCAAACAAAGCCTTAATATTGGTTAATTAAAATTTTGGATGCTTGAAGAACTAAAATATTGCATGAAATATAATTTAAGCTTAACAACTGTGCCATTGCTATAATTTATTACTTAAATTGGTGTTGTTGAAAGTGCTGGACACTCTTAATGCTGTGTGGCTGATGGAAAAGTTCTAGGGGCTACTTTAGGTGCTTGTTTGATTGAAATGAGGTGCTACAAATAAGAAATTTTATATCATCGTATAATATTATTTTAATTGAAATAATTATTTAAAAGGGTATAATATGATAATCACTAAATTAATTGATTCTATATATTCCAGCTACTCCATCTGAATTTTTAGTCATTTATCCTTTTTTTATTAGGCTTATCCTCTTCACCCTCAAGATTTACTAACTGAAGAAGTTAATGATTGTATATCTCATAGTTTTTTTTTTCCTATGTTTCTAGTTTTTTTGTTCGCTTGCTTCATGCTCGTTGAATCGCTTCTGCACCTTCCCTTTTGTGTTGTTGTTTTGTAAATGTTTTGCTTGGTGGCTTGATTGCTTGACAATTGTTTGCTTTGTTCCAGCAATTAATTCATGCATATATTTTATCGATTTCATATTTTGCCTGATGAACAATTGCTTGTTCAAACTCGTTTGCTCCATTTGTTGGATTGAGTGTGGTAAATTGCCTTTCTCTGCAGCTCAAACTCGTTATTGATCTGCTCGGATTTATTTCTGTACACATGTTAGCTGATTTTATTGTGCTTTCAGAACTATAGTGCAAATAAGTGTTGAATCCTTGCTAAGTTTAATAACCATTGTATTCACTCTTATCCTTGTTTTATTTTGGTCAACAAATTGCAGCTGCCTTATATCCATATAGATCTGTGACTTGCTTCATACCTGTTCTGCCCATGATATCATGCACCATCATTTGAAGCGATGCGTGCCTGCACCCATTTATGGTGCTTGCGCACGCCGCTCCAGTGTGCGGCCCCACCCTAAAACTCATTGCATCTTTTACCTCTTTGAGGTCAAATTTAATGGCTTGGCCATATTAACATCTTTTACCTCTTTGAGGTCAAATTTAATTGCTTGACCATATTGACATTTTGTGAGCTCATCATAAAAATAAGCTCTGACCTACTAATAATTAATTAATGGAGGATATGTTTGGTCAAATGTATCTGCACTCCACAGCTACTTTCAAATTTCATTTATAGTAAGTATGTAAGTTCCCACCATCTGTTATGTGATGGCTAGCGGAAAATAGGATTTGTTAAGCAATCCTGACTACAATTAAAAGCCTTGCTAAGATATGTAATTTCAATAAGATCAATACTCTCAGAACCAACATCATCCAATTCATACTGAAAGACACCTGCTTAAGTGGCTTCTTCCTTTTGCTGCGTCAATCCCAACGTCAATACTTACTAATCCCGACAAATTCGCCGACAATTAACACACCGGTTCAATGCAAGCATGCCAACCACATAATTATCTTGGTGCCATTCCGCGAATCCCGCACATCTTCGTTGCATGTTGACATCACTTCATATTCGTATCTTTCCTCACTTTTCATTTCATTCTTCAATCCTTTGTTAGTCCTCTTGCCAACCACTTTTACTTGCACTGCATCTCGTTGCATGCAATGCCCACCCATGCCAACACTTCGTTTGCAGAACAGATAAATATTCTGGCAAACACCTCTTGAACGACCCTTATATATATGCTATCAATTGCCTTGCACCCTTAAACCTTCGTCTTGCAATTTTTGCATTTGAAGTCTGCTTCTTATAATTTTGTGCAAATTATATGCAAATTGTGCGCACATCTTGCACGACATGTACCATAATAGTGTTCAAGGACCTCAACATGTGCTATACTTGCAACTATCATCTTTTTAGCCATCATATTTGACAACACCGTACATCACAATAGTCATGCGCACTCCATGCACTTGATCATGACTCATTTTTTGTGTAAAATGTACGCTCAAACGACTTTGTGACCCCAGGCATTTTTTAGGTTCACTCATGTCATTTGGGAGGACCTATTACAAAATTATAAGAAACAATTTGATCTGTAAAATGTGATCATCTTTCTTTGCATGACCTATTTGACAATTACTCCACTAACCCAAGTGTTTATTTTGAAAAAAAAAGTTCTTTAACCTACTCCTTACCCTGACTTCTTCCAAGTCTCCATTCTTAACCTTGCCCATTTGATCACACACACACCTCTTCATTATCAACGTTGTAGAGCAAGCACCTTCCTTGATTGCACATTCCCATCTTCCCTTCCTACCTTCTTTATTCCTGTTTCTGAGTGCATTTATGTAGCTCATGCCTTATGTCAAGTAATTTGCTTCCTTCATCTGTCCTAAGTTATCTCTGATCTTGAATAATGAATGTTGTCTTCAGTTGATGCCTCTAGTACTACTACTTGGAGGATCTCCAATTCCTCCGTGGCTGCCATCTTTATCTCTTAACGAGAAAATTTTTTTTGGTCCCAAAGAATGATGCAGAGCGATAATGTACCAAATATTATGTTACTTTATTCATGAGGTCTTATGTTAAATTTTATGTTTTATGTTTTCATTTGCTTTAAGTTCTGCATTTCAATGTAATTTGGTGGCCTCTCTTCCATAAATAGAAGAGGTTGGGTTATAACTATATAATAGAATGATGAAATGATGATTGAGAATGAATATGCAGCCTCTATTCTCCCTCTCATGTTCTTTCCATTCTCTCTTTACTCCCTTCACCCTCTCCTATCTCTAGGGCTAGATGGTCTTCTAATTATCTTCAAATCATTTTTCTACTCTTCTCTTCTCCTTTCCTATCCTCTGCTCCTCTCCTGTCTCTATTTTCCCTTCCTTGTATTGGATCCATATTTTTCAATTTTTTGTTGGATCTTAATTGTCTTTTGCATCAATTTTTTTTTCAATAAGTGGTAGTTATCAAAATTTCAGTGAATAGAATATCCTTGATTTACTTTTGATAACTTAGTCCAATTGTAGCAATGGTACTTTTGACAATTTCAAACTTGGTATAAACTTTCTATTTGTAATCTTATAGCTTTCTTCAAAACTCTCGTTGTCAGGTCCCAAGTCCTAGATGAGAAAAGTGGAGGGTTGAGTTAGGTAGTCGACTGCTAGCGTAAAATTTGTCGAATAATCATGACATGAATCATTTAATAATTGTGTTAATGCCAGGGCGTTCCCTGAAAGAGACGCATTGTATGGCTTGAATACAATGACATGTGAGCAAGGGCCGCTGCATCGGAGCTCAGGTGCAGTGTTAAATAAGTAAGTGTTCCCGCATTATGGACGTATGTGGGCAAAGAAGCTAGTTCATAAAATTAAAATTAGGATATGAACTTGGAATATAGGTTCCCTTACAGGCAAATTAATGTAATTAATAGATATTATGATTTATAGGAAGATAAATATATCATGTATTCATGAAAATAAATGGGTTGGAGAGAAGGCTAAAGAGATTGATAGTTAAGGATTTAAAATATGGTATTCTGATAGTAGTCGTACTAGAAATGATGTAGGTGTGATTATAGATAAGAGTTTAAAGGACAATGTTATAAAAGTTAATATAATTGAAGATATAATTATAGCTTTAAAGATTATTATTGATGCTAAGATTATTAATATATAAGTGCTTATTTGCCTCAAGTAGGTTTAGATATGTGTTTAAAATTAAAATTTTTGAATGACCTAAAAGAATTAATACAAAAATACCTATCAAAGAAAGAGTTTTTTTTAGGAGATTTAAATGGACATGTCGGTTGAGAGTTAGATGATTTTAAAAACATTCATGGTGGTTATGACCAATGTTTAAAATTGCGCAATTAGGTATTGATGCATTTTTTGTTCATAAGGCGAGGCTTAAGCCTCAAGGCGTTTTGAGGCGTAAGCCTCAAAATCAACAAATTGTGTTAAGTGATAATAAAAGTCAAAAGTGATTTTTTATATAACTTCCTATTGAATTATGAAATAACCAATTTACATACATATGAAATAAAAAATTGCACAAGATATAAAGTGACAAGTGATAAATTGAGTGAAATAGAATTAAAATCCAAATATTATAAAAGCAAAACAATATTAAATATAGAAATAGCATAAAAGTATCATATAACATCAAGTTCAACTACAAATTTCTTTTTTCTCAATTCTCTAGTCAATTATAAATAATTCTTAATGAAAGCTGAAATAGTTGGCAATAACTTATGAATCATTTGCACTGTCATCACTGAGGTGGTCTTTATCTGAGTTGTCGCCATAACAATTTAGTTTATCCCCTGGCCTCATTCGGTAGAGTCGAATGCCTTCCAATATATATTTTTAATTTATTTCAATCATGTTCGTCTTTTAGAAATATTTTCATCAACATAAATATGAGATTAATGCTCCAAAATTTTTAAGATGGTGGTGTACAACTTTCAAGTGATTGTCGGTGACGGCTACGATGGTGTTGGCTGAGATGAAGGCAGCGAGATGGAGGTAGAGGCAATCGAGAGGAAGTTGTTGCGCTCGAATGTGCATGAAGGTGTGATTTATGTTAGTTTTAACAAAAAAAAATGTATAAATTAGATGAGGCGTAAGCCTCACGCTAGCGATGCAAGGCATGCCTCAAGGCGGGCCTCAGTTAGGCTGAGGCGCAAGCCTTATAAAAAAGCT